GTCAATCTCGTTCCCAGAGTCTTCGTTCCCCTTGACCAGCGGTCGGAAAACGAGAGCTCTCGGAGCAACCATTTTGAAATAACCGAATTCTGCCCATCTGGTTTCAGTGCACAGTCTGCATCTATGGCGCACGCCTAAAATGGTTGCTCCCAGAGCTCTCGTTTTCTGACCGCTGCTCAAGGGGAACGAAGACTCTGGGAACGAGATTGGGACTCCGTTAAAAAGAGGTTCGTTAAATCGGATACTACTGAACCAGCAATGATAGATGTCCAACAGTAGCAATTAAATGTAGACATGATAATAGATGCGAATGCAGTCATAACACTTCTGGTAAAAAGAACTGAAAAAATTTCAGGTAGCTCAGTTGGGAGAGAATTCCACCGGTATCGCGAAGGTCGTGGGTTCGAATCCCGTTCAAAGCCTGAAAATTTTTTCAGGTCTTTTTTCCAGTAGTGTTATGATTGCATTCGCATCCATCATCATGTCTAAACCAGCGGTGTAGGGGGGAACCGAGGGGCGTTTTCCTTTGGTATGGTAAAATCGGTTTTTTTGGTGGGAAAGTAAATGTAACGCGTCTTTCCACTGGAAATTTTTCACATCGATATCACACATCTTGAAAAGTTTAGCCTAAATTTTTCAAGTTGGTCGTTTGAAATCCGTGTTAATCTTCTCCATCCTTAACCATCCTCGTTCCTTTATGGTTTATCAATAATTCTTTGGTGTTTTTCTATCTTGTTAAATTTTTATTTTCCGGTTTCCTTCAATTTAATAATTTTGTACGTGGCCATTATAACATCAAAATACTGCGACCGAGCTCTTTTAATGAAATACGAGAAATCCGCACTTGTTTCGATGGGAAATAAAATGCAACAGTCCTTTTCACTGGAAGGTTTTCAAATGTCGTGTGTCAAATCCGATCCCGTCTCATTCCAGTTGGACGGAAATTGTCACCGGTTTTTCCACGCAAATGCAAAACCGAGGCTCACATCCGTAAATTTTGCTAGCAAGGCAAGTGGATCAGGTAGCTAGTTATCTAGAAATCCGATGGAAAATTTACATGTATTATTTCAACCGGTTTCCTAAGCACTTTGCACGTGCGTGACATCACGCACCAGATTCACAGACAGAATTTTCTATCTGAAGAAAACCGGACACCGGAACAGTATTTTGACACTGTCTATTTTAAAAAGCTATATTGACATCCATTAATTGAAGAAAGCAGTCCAGTTTTATTCATTGTCCAAAGGATGTACTAATATTTTGGCAATGGTATTTAATTTTCTGTTAATCATAATCTTATGTAATTTTTATGCGTGATTAAGCATTATACAGAACTGCACGTATAGCTAAAGGGTGCGTGTTGCAACAGGAATAATTTAATGACTTACTATTTCCATTTATAAAACAGACGTGGCATTACCTAACCTTGACCGAGGTATAAAGTCTGAGATACTCTCATGTGATTTTTCGTGAAGAATATGGAAAAAAGGGGAGTGATGTTCATTTCCTATCTCATTTAAATAACAGAATGAAAAGATTCTATAGGTTTTCTGGAGTTTTCTGGGTAAAATATGCTTCGGTTTTGTGTTCGTCAAGAATGGTTTCCTAGTCGAAATTGTTTATAGTAATACAACTTTTTATTTCGAGGGTTCTTCGTTAAGTTCATTTTTAACTCTTAAATTAAAAGAGAGATAAATTTGGAGTAGGTACTAAGCATTATCGTACGCTTTTCAAGCCATCGTCGCAGCACATGTTTTGACCGTTTCCTCTAAGAATCGGAAATTTTTGTAGAATTTTGCGTCACGTTTTTCTCTGAAAAATGAGAACTAACCACAAGAATTTCAAGATCCGTTTCTCACGTTCTCAGAAATAGGGGGTTCATTCTTTGGCATTTGAAAATTGCAATGACTTCGTCATTCAGCAGGCACGCTGGCATAAGTTTCCTCAAAGCTGCGGCCAGCATTATGTAAGTTTGAACCAGTCTGATATCCACTTATCACTTATATTTTATTTCTGATTGTTTTTCCAAAACAAGCGTATTTTTTTAGTGCGGTTGAATGATTCATAGACCTGCTCTTCCAAAGAATCCCTCAAACAGTCCTCCCTGAAATCTTTTAATCGGGGCGAAGGTTTATTTTTCTTGGACCCTTCATCCTATTTCAGATTTATAATTTATTATTCAATAAACTATTTCCGATTCTGTTCCAAAATTGATCCCTCTCGCACTCTGGACTCTCAGATTAATATACTTTTCCATAAATACACGACCTCGGCTAACCAAGACAGATTAAAACAACTTATCGTGTACCTATATATCAATACCTAATTGGTTTAAATTCTCCAATCTAATTGCATTTGCAAACTAAGAACCATTGGAGGCAAGACTGAAGAGGGGGTGCTCCCTTATTTGGGCTATACGGGGACGTACCGCTGGACAGGGCATGGTTTTTTCGGCTTCGTTGTCCTGAACAGGGTATACAATTAAATTCGCCTCTGTCCCAAGCAGCGTCAGAGCCTGTCCTTAACAGGGTATGGTATTACGAGCCGAGAGACGTTCACCGGCCATTACAAGGTCATCAATCAACGTCAGATCATTTTCTGGACAAGAATGCCATTGTTATCGGTAAAACAAATATTTTCTCTTATCAGATTATAACAACTGCGCATTAACAGAATAGGTCGTACTGGTAGGTCTTGTTTCTTTGTGTTTCTTTGTCCTACACAGAGTAGGGCTTTTAAAGCATTTTTATCCTAAACAGGGTCAGGATTTCAAACCGTCGGCAGTACCCCTATAGCCAAACATGGGTCAAGTACCCCTCCCCGGGGCGGTAAGAGTGAACAGAATCTCTATTTCAGACGAAAGTGGTATGCAAAGTATTGCATAGTGACGAACAGACCTGTATTTCTCATGAAAGGGAACTATCTTCCGGGAATAAGTCTCCAGTGACATCAGTGAATGTTAGTCTTCACTTGGAGATATCGCGTGACTGTAGAAATAAGGAAATACATTTCACCGGAAGAAAACAACAATCGGGTCAGATTATGGCTTTTAAGGATTTTCGCTGACGTCACACGGCAGCCGGTCCTCGCCACGTTTATTTTAACGGTCTTATATAATAGAGCAAGAAAGCCGGTTGTAATGCACACGTGTTTTTAGGAGAGCAGCGTGCACCGGTCCTCGAGCTACAAAGAAGGGTGGCCTGAAAAGAGATCATTTTGAATCTGTAGTACCTACGTGTTTTACCATGACTGAAAATACTACACTTGCGGAACAGGACAACTCCAGATCGTTTAAGTGTCAGAGAAAGCTTTATTTATGCGCTTCATTTCTCTGTATTGCAACGAGTGCCGTTCTATTGGTGTTCGTTTTTATTTTGTTTGCGGAGAATTGCCTTGGCTGTCGTACCTTCGTGGTGGGAATTTTGAGCGCACTCGCCATTTTGCTGTTCATTGCTGGACTGCTGATCCTAGCAACAACAGTTTGCGGCAAAAGAAGACATAACGACGTGACTCGTCAAGTTGTCATCTCTTTCATTCCCGCTGAGGATCTGGAAAAATCTCCTGTGTCTTTCCTGTCTTATAATCAATTTCCTCACGGCAAGCCGTTTGATGATACTTCCTCGATCGATTTGCCAGATTATTTTACTGTGCTTCAAAATGTTCATGAATTTTATACCACTGCGGACGACGACGTTTGGGCAGAGGATGTTCTCGAAACTCCACCACCGTGTTACGAAAAAGCCATTGAAATGAAATCATTTGATAAAGCAAGTAACTAGAGGTGGATACAGATGCTACCAGACAGGGATATACCGAAGATACTGCCACAGAGGGAAATACCAAAGATGCTAGACTGTAAAACTCATATTTTAATTGGGTCACGTTTTGTTTAATCGAAGCCGGGAGACACGCCTGTCTGGTCAGCTCGTTAGTTTCCGGTCTCGAGAACTTAGCGCGCGCCATTGTCGTTCCTCGCGAGATTCTCGTTCCTTGCCACTCGTCAATCCACGACAGAAAAGAGACAGGTAGTTTACAAGATTCGGTTTTGTGGAAAATAACAGAACGGAGATCAGATTTTGAAACTAAATTCATCAATCAGAAAACAAAGTAACATCTTTTTTTCCTCGTTTCGCGTGCGCGCGTGAGTCAGCGGGTCTGCACTCAGCTCAACCGAGGTGGACAAAGCAATGCATTTCCCAGCATTGCAGCAAGTTCGATAATCCTAGAGTTGGATTTTATTTCATTTAATTAAGGTTTCGTTTGTTTGCCGTTTATATTTAGCGTAGGCAAGACGTTTTTCCGTCATCGTACTCGTCACGCTAAAAGGATGAGTCTCTTGAACGGAAAAGCGAAGATGAAGAAACTTTCTAGACTGTGCTTTAGTTAAGCAGAAAATGCTTTTACAAAATGCAGTCAAGGATAAACATCAGTAATATACCGTTTCAAAGTTGTGTCTCCATAAGTTGCTATAAATGCTTTTAACGTTTCAACAGGATCAGTGTCAACACGACTTGGAATGTGTATATTACTGACGTCATGTTGGCTTAGACTTGGGTCATTGGTTATCAAATATTTATTGTCCCATCACAGGTAGTCCAAGGTCAGTATGTGAGCGTGCGTGATTATAATCACTTCAAGAAACTGCGACACAAGCCTGGTTCTCTCTATGACATAAGTTTTTGATCTTCTTGTGCTTGTGCTTATGTTTATGTTTATGTCAAGTGAGAACGCACTGCTATAAGCGTAAGCATAAGGATAAGCGTAAGTCAGCCATCTTGTTTTACTGTATCGAGGAGGTATGCCTTTTTTGTGGGCGTCCTCGCAACAGTTATGCTTATGCTTGTGCGCACGTCGCAGTAAAAACCCGACCATACAGTTTAAGAGTTCAATACGGAGCGTAGTTAAATGACCTTCGTCGTAAGAAATCATATGGAAAACGCTGCTGTCGCTTAAAAGTGTGCGAAATTGGTAATAAAATTTTCCTTTAAACTAACCTGTACTAGTTATATTCTTGTCGTTTCTTACAATTAATTTTACAGCGTTGAAGGCATCTTAGCGGCAGATTAAGGCTTTTTGTGAGCGGGGTGGTTTTCCATACGATCTCTTATGACTATAGTTATCGATTACGCTCAGTAGAATATCAGAAAAACGTCGTGTAAAGACATTTTAAAATACGTTCATCAGAATGTAAATTGAACAGGAACTTTAGGCATCAACCGTTTTCTCATTAAAACGGGAAGTTGAAGCCCAGTTCAAATTTTGTCAAACTGGCCAAATGTTTGCGCACTTCCGGCTTCCCCCTTTCTATAAATGAAAACAAAAGAAACAAGATATTTCTTGTTTCCTCAGGATTGCAGTTCCATATATGATTTTAACGCATCTCAAAGATGACCTATAGGCAAGCATCAGTTACCAACTTACTTCCTGTCAAAAAAAACTGTGGCCGAAGGTATTATTATGATTATTACAATTATCAGCCCTGTCAGAGACCATCATTTTTTACACCACTCTTCTCCACAAAACGACTCTGACATTTCACCGTTACTGGATTGGTACTGAGATATCGGCTTCAATGAGGGAGAAATGAAACCAGACAAACACAATTTACGTGATACATTTCTTTAGGACGATCTGGACTAGGCTGCATGATCCATGATGGCGCGTAAGAGGAACCGATCAGTCCTTGCCCAGAGTGGATTCATCGGTTCCTTTGTTGCACCATGATCCAAGTGATCGATCAACCTCCTTCCCAGGGTCCTCTGAGGGGGAGAGAGGAACCTGGGAACGAGGATGAGATGCACACTCTTAGCGTGCCTGACCATGGTTACGTCACCCATTCTGTAAACAAGCCTTAGCCACAAAGGAACACGAAATATATCTCTGAACTGTGGCCTAAAACATCGTCAGCTTGAATCGGTACTCACGGAGCTAAAACTATCACGACTTTGTTAGAAAATACCTAGGCATAACAAGGCGATATTCTTCAGGTACAAAATTAGGCATTTCTTTGCATTGCAGTGAGTACAGCTATTCTTGTGCTCGTTTTATTTTATCATTATTATTATTATTTTGCTTTTATTGAAAGCTTCGTCAGCTGCCGTTACGTTTATGGGATTCTTTCCATAGAACTTTTTGTTGCTGAACTTCGGTTATTATCAACAATAGCCTTGCTGCAAACGAACTGAGAAAAAACAACGTAACTTCTCAGGTCGTCGTCTCTTTGATTCCCACGAAAGTTTCGGAAAATCAACCATTCTTCTACTTCCTTATAACCATGTTCCTCCTTGTCTGCCGTCTATTGGAACTTCTTCGATTAATCTGCCTGATTATTGTGCTGTTAATCAAAATATCCGTGAAGAGAACTTACCGGTGGACGCGCGAGTTTGGACAAGAGATCTTCCTAAAACTCTGTTACCGTGTTACGAGCAAAAGTTTGAACTGAATGACAGCGGTGACTGGTACTACGTACAAGAGAACTGGATTTGTATAGTTCCAAACAAGGAAACACAAATAGCACGAGACTGTGATTAAGTGTTAAACTATATATCAGACATCCAGGACATCCTCATCAATTGTGTGTGAAAACGTGTAAATATTGCAGTGATCGTTCGACGTCTCTTCACTTCTTGGGAAAATATTAGAAGAACTTACCTTACTCAGTCTGTTTGGTGCTCCGAAACAAGCGAATTTTAATGTATTCAGAACTGTACTGCTGGAGTATGACGTCATAGAAATATGTGTTATGTTTTTAAACTATATGCTTCGTTAGCTTGAGCTATGAATAATACTTTGAAATGAAAAGAAATTTAGGTGTTTAGTTGTCAATTATGCTGTAGCGAAAGCATAACTAAGGAATATTATTACTTGTGTTATAGTGCTGTTTAGAAATGTTTTCTTCTAATCCTTTCCAAACTTAACTGTTATACAGGCGATATTCCTAATGCCACTTTCGCTGAAAAACGTCCGTCACTTGTTCCAGAAATAACTTGGCTAACAGAAGTGTATTACTACTCGCGCACTTGAATAAGACGCAGTATTTGAATTAGTTAGAGAATCAAGAAGAATATGCAAAACCTTGAATTTTTAAATGAAAAACCCGTAGATGCCCTTCCAAACAGATACCCAGAAGAACTTTTCAGTGCTCCGAATTTGAATTAATTAACATACCGAAGTTACAAACAACTGAAATTAAACGGCAAAATAACGTTCTCGGCTCTATTTCTTCATTTGAACTTTGCCAATGATAATTCGTTACCATGCAGCTAGATATCAAACAGGCCACGCCATCTGTACTACGCCGTTAAATAGACATTCTAATGAGGCAAGACTAGAATGTATATTAAAAAGAAATATGGCTTGATGAATGCGTGTTCACTGAGGCACAGACCGTTTCTTAGAAAAATGGGAAAGAGAAACAAGTTTGAATTTTGTTGAATTCATTTAATTCTGCCCACGTAGATGCAAAAGACGACAGGAAGCTCTTTGTGTGACGCGCCACATGGCGTTTCCGAATGTTCAACTTCCGCGTCTTTCACTCAGTCCTAACAAAAATACTATTAATGCTATAAAGCCGGCAAACATGGTTATTTGCACTGCGTTAAAATTCTTCAGGGGCCACTACATACGTTAACACAGTCACTACTTTCCTCTACAAAACGATTTTGTTTGGTGGGATTTGTGTCCATTAAGGAGTGGAGAGATGTGACGTGGGTCACGCATGAGTGGTATCACGTCATCGGTCACTCAACAGTCAAGCACTTGCATCAATATCCGCTCTTTAAAGGAGGCCTTGGCCTCGACCACCCAGAAAACTAAAGGAACACTGATCAAGTCACTGGACTGTGGTAGAAAACATCATCATTTGAATCTGTACAAACGGAGCTTAAATCTACATGATTATGTCAGAGAATATGTGGACATCCTCAAAGTGCACGAAAAGACTATATCCATCTGCTATTGCATGTGGATTTCTCAGCATTGCAGCGAGTGCAGCTATTCTTGTGCCGGTTTTGGTTATGTTTATTGAACAGTGCGCAGGCTGCCGTTCGTATTTTACACTTCTGGGGACTGTTTCTTTAGCACTGTGTATTTTTGGACTTCTGATGTTATTAACAATAGTTTGCTGCAAGAGATGGAAAAACAGCTCAACTCCTCAAGTCGTCGTCTCTTTGATTCCATTAGAAGATTTGGAAAAATCTGCCGTCCCTATTCTGCATTATAATCAAGTTCCTCATCATCAGCAGTTTATTGAAACTTCTTCGATCGATTTGCCGGATTATTTCACTGTTGTTCAAAGTCCTGATGAAGTGTATTTATCTGTGGACGCGGACGTTTGGACAGAAAATGGTCCGGAAACCCCGCCACCGAGTTACGAGGAAGCGTTTGAAATAGCAGCAGATGCGGCATAATTCCAAATCACAGGAAAATACCCAATACACTAGTATGCAAGAAGTATATATCATATATAAAACTGTTAGTGACGAAAAACCTTAGAACTCGCGGAATTTTAGTTTACATGCAAAAAGAAGACAAATTACAATCCGGCTATCCCTGTTTCTACGTCTCTCCAAGCAATCTGAATACAAACATTACTCAAGAGATTTTAAAGCACCACGGAGTGCGTGACTAGTGAAGTGTGACTAATTATATAATATGTAGAATTCTTCTCGCATTTTGATTGGCTCATACTTGCGATCAATTGAAGGACAGATGCATGGATGACGTCACTGAATAGGTGTGTCTATTATATCTATTTAAGAAGTAGAAAACATGTACCATGTTTCTATCGAGTTTTAGTAGAATTCTATTAGTACTGACTAAAGCAAATGCTGTAATCTGATTGGCTGAGCCATCGAACACTATCAGTCTCATAGAAATCTCGAGAGCACAATAGCATCCATTGTTCTCCAAACAATAGCCCATGGCCTTTCTCGGCTCCTGATTGGTTACCGCTCATTTAAGCGTCCATTACTACTAAGGGCTTTAAAGAAATAGAAGGAGAAGGATCTTATGATACAGCATTCAAAGAGGTTGCGGCCGAAATTAGTGAGGGTATTTACCAAGGAATACCATATGTCATCGCTTTTGTCGAAATATCGCGAACTCCTGGAGGACAAGGGAATCAAGGCCGAAAGTTACAGCAAACAGCCGCCTGAAACTTCGACTCCAAAAGCACTTCGGAAAAGAGATCGTGTTCCACCAGCATCCCGACAGGAGTAAGCATGAGGTTATTTATTCGAGAAACATATCTCTGCAAGACGTGCTAAATGCTTCAGCTGCCCAGAATGCCAGATCCGTAAGCAATGTTTCGTTTAATGCCGCTCAGCAGATTGTAAACACAGCTCGGCGGGTTAAGGAGGAATTACGCAAGTGCAGTGGAATCAAACGTGAACGATGTGTCCCTCGAGTCGTCAAGAAGGATAATTCCTCCTAGTCTGTACTGGCTAGTTCGTTTGATGATTACATCTGAAGAGTCTGGAGTTGACGACTTTGACCAACCGTGTCCCTGTGTCAAAATAGAGGACGATAGGCGTATTATTAGTATTTCCCAAGATATCATTCACTGCGCATCAAAAGCCCGCATGAAGCTCCCGAAGCAAATAGGACTTGCAGTGGTGGTTCGTCACCTGACTGGATCTAAGCAGTTAGTTGGCCTTTTGAATCGAATGGGCCACAGTTCCTCATACGATGAGTTGCAAGCAGTTGATACAAGTCTTGCAACGGAAGTATTGGCAAAGGTAGAAACACATGGAACAGTCATCCCATCAAACATCTCTCCGGGGTCTTTTGCGCAATTTGCTGCCGATAACAACGATTTCTGGAAATGATAGATGGCAAAAATACTACCCATATCACTACCATGGTTGTTTACCAGAAAAAGATTTTTGGTCCAGAACTACCGCGTACCATAGTTGGAAATCATTCAGAGAGACGTCGTAGCCTGAAGAGAGGTGGAAGTGTCTATGAGTTTCTTTCACTGAAGCAATCATGATCCTCATTTGAACTTGCATACCCCACTTGCCATAAAACTGTCGCCATTTACGTCATTGCGTTGCGTTCCTGGAAACGAACCGGCTCGTGCTTATCCGCTGGTCGCAAATATTTCTTTATCATATTTTCCAAAGGATTATGGGACGGAACCATCAAAATGGCGGTCAAAGAGATCGCTTAAAGAGGGATTCGATAACAGAGCGCTTTGCTCATTTTTAAGCCTTATTCTACGTTGGAAAGTCGTCAGAAATCGTTTTAAAATGTCTTTTGTGATTCCAGCTGGGTCAAATGTCTGTAAAAGTGGGAAAGAACGGCTATTATGGTCATTTTCATGGGCAAAACAGTATTAATCAAGCCACTTGAGAGCCTGTGTTGTGCCTAAATCCTACCGCTCAGAAGGACAACCGAGGAGTACTAGGAGCGAGTTTCCGAGTCGAGCAGTTTTCGGTAATTGTCGGCTATTCCAATATGGCGGACTATACCAATCACATAAATAGGCGAATTGCCAGTGGTAAAACTATGTTGATCAACAAGACAAGTACGTTTTTATTCACCTGACAAGTTAAG